GTAACCTCTCAGGCACCCAGCCACATCTGGCTCAGCTTTTCAGCAAGGCCATTTACCTTTGCAACCAATTTCTTGTGGTTGGCATAACCCCAATGATTTTCTTTTCTGATGTGACCTTACCTGGTAAAATTCTTTAACAGGCATTTCAAAAACCAACACAGCTCTCTCTCTCTCTCTCTCTCTCTCTCTCTCTCTCTCTCTCTCTCTCTCTCAAGTTATTTATTTTATGTATTTGAGTGACCTGTCTTCTTGCACACTGCAAGAGGGAATCAGATCCGTTATAGATGGTTGTGAACCACCATCTGTGGTTGCTGGGAATTGAACTCAAGTCCTCTGGAAGAGGAGCCAGTGCTCTTAACCACTGAGCCACTTCTCCAGTTGGGGGGGGGACTTTTTTTGGTTTATTTATTTATTTACTTGTTATGTGTACAGTGTTCTGCCTGTATGTTGCCTGCAGGCCAGAGGAGGCCACCAGATCTCATTACAGATGCTTGTGAGCCACCATGTGGTTGCTGGAACTGAACTCAGGACCTTTGGAAAAACAGGCAGAGTGCTCTTAACCACTGGGCCATCTATCAAGCCCCCCATTGTTGTTGTTTGGCTTTTGTGTTGGCTGCCCTGGAACTAACTCTGTAGATCAGGCTGTCCTGGAGCTCACAGAGATCTACCAAGTGCTTGGATTAAAGGTGTGGGCCACCTCCCCACCCAGCACCATTGACTCTTGATTGGACTGGTTTCGGAGCCTAGTAAGTGTCCTTGTCTCCACAGGGGACTTCAGTTACCAGAGGAACCATTCTGTTAAGTACTGTTTATTGCCTTCTTTTGAAAATCCTTCAGTAATTTGTTTCCTTGGTTAGAAGAATACTGTGGCCAATGAGTCCCAAGCTAACCAGCACCCTCTATGTCATTTATTCTTAGTCTTTTTCTTTGGAATGTGAACAGAACAGGTGTTTATGCAGCACACCCTGTACAGCCAGAGTATTTCACATCAGGATCCACACTATGCATGTTATATGAAGCTTGTAATTTGTTTTTATTTATAAAGTTCATGTGTCCCATGTTCCAGCTTCTTAAACTATAGGCCACAACTGCACACTGGGGTGTCACAAAAAAAATTGGCCACAAAAAGAGGCTCCTGAGCCCATTATCTATGGTGGGAAACCTTGATACAGGGGGGAGGGGCTTGGTCCTTCCTCAACTTGGTATGCCTGACTTTGTTGACTCTCCAAGGATGGCCTTACCTCCTAGGAGGATTGGATTAGGATTGGGAAGCAGGGCCACCAGAGAAGGTGGGGGGAGGGGTAACTGGGGTTGGTATGTAAAATGAAAACTAAACTTTTATCAAGTTAAGAGAGAGAGAGAGGAGAGAGAGAGAGAGCTAGGCTCCTGAATGTGCAGTGACCAAAAGTGAATCCAAAATCAACCGTGTAACAATGTGGGTGTGTTTCTGGCAGCAATTGCCTGTGCTATTTTTCACGATCTCACTGTAGTCTTGGCTCTGAACAAGTGACAAGGGCTCTTGCTTCTTTGTCAACATGCACCCGCAGACAGACAGCCTTGTTCACATCTGTGACTATGCTATGAGTTGCATGCAGTGTTTGGATTGCACAAAGTTTTCTGCTCTTCACATAATGATAGCAGATAAATTGTGGAAACCCAATGCATTTAGTATTTTCCCACCACCATTTCTCAGCATGTAAGTATAAAATCGGCATATCGCTAGATTCTATTGTGTTATAATGTTTGATTTTAAAGTTATCGTTTGGGGTCCTGAGTGCATCTCATAGAAACGTCATAAACTGGGCTTGAGGTTAGGACAGAACTTCAGCAATTTTGAAATGGCTCTAAACATACCTCTGCCATTCCGTACTGCATCTTTGTATGCTGCAGTGGTCTCGCCATCTACAATCATCTCATCAAAGTATCAGCCAGTTCGGAAAATTGGGCATGCTGCTGAGTGGGTCCTGCAGTATCCAGTGTTCAGTGACAATTTCTTCATGTAAAAACAAGCAAATCTGGCTCTAATATACAAATTTGTTTTTAAAATATGGTAAAATTATACATGTATATAATTATATATACATATATATATATATTTATAGTAACCAAATACTTGTTTTAAATTTCTCTATGATTTATTGTCAAAAAATGCTTGATTTGTGCACCTATTTTGTATCCCTAGCTTGTGGAGGTTCAAAGACAATTTCTGAAATGAAAGGAGTCACGAGAGGAATAAGTTTAGGATGCCTTGCTAAGTGCTGTGTATGTCTGGCTTGTGAGGCTTGGAGCAGGGCCAGGCAGGGCTGCGCTCCTGGGGCAGACAGAAGGCGCATGCTCCTTGGAGTTGGCTTCCCGGCGGTTAAGCAGATGGCCGGGAGGGGTGGAGTCACCGGGACACTTCCCGGTGTGGACTGCTCTGATTGGCTGTGAGAAAGGCCCGTGCCTGCTCGGTTCTCTTATCAAGACCATGTAGGCTGCAGGCTGGCCACACTCGCCTGGGCTGTGGTGGGCACTGCTCCCAGAGACAGAGGTTGGAGGGTCGCATCCGGTGAGTGACGGCCTCGGGCCTGGCCGGGTGCAGGGGGCTCGTGAGCTGGTGTCCTGCGGGTCCGAGGGGAGGTCCCCCCACCGTCTCTGTCCCTCAGTTGCTCTGCTCCTGGGGCGCTTTTCGCCTCGGGTACATGCAGGTGCTTTGAGGATGGCGATACCGTGGGTCTTTCCAACAAGTGGTCTGTCCTTCCCTGAGAGCCCTCCAGCTTCCTGGACAGGGGCTGTCGCGGATCAGGGAACCTGCTCAGAATTCCTGGACTGGAAGAGAGATAGAATGCCTGCCTCTTATTTTCCTTCATTCCTCCCGTTATCCCTCCTAGGTAGTGTTAGCCAAACACAGGATCAACAGCAAACTTGGGCATGAGTCCTGGTTAAAACCCCAGTGATACTGCTGTATAATTAGCTAGCTCTTTACTTCCACAATTTGACTGGTCTGTCTCACTTTATCCTGAAAAATGGGCTCCCTAGTACTGTCGGGTCTGTAGAGGAGTAGACTGTAGGAGGCACTGTTTGCAGGCTGGGCATTGCCAGTAGCTTAGTAGTTATAGAAAAACTACATTGAGCCCATATTTTCGTTTGTTGTTGAACTGTGGAGCTGCCCCATCCCATTTCTGAAAAGCAGCACCGGCACATTCAGTTTGTGCAGGACTTGGCAGGGTCCTGGAGGTTCAGAGTTGAATTAGACTTAAGCGCTTCCCTTCCTTCTTTCTGAGGTGAAATGAAGGCAGACAGATAATGAATTGCATTGCTATGAAGCCATAAATACTGTAATAAAGGTGTTCTGAGAGCCCAGAATAGCACACTAAACCCAGCTTAGAGCCTTATCTCACAGTCTCCTGTAAGAAAGTCCTGTCAAGTTTTTGAGCAACAGAGTTGTGTTGGAAGGAAAGTCTAGCCGGTGGTGTTTCACATGAGTGAGTCCCCTTTGGAGACCACATCCCGATTCTGTAAAAGCGGCTTCCACCACCTGCTTATTTTAAGCTATGCTGAGAACATTTATTTTATAATACCTTCCCCTCTTTCAGTCTAATTTTTTGTTCTCTAATACTGAAGGACCTCTGGGACAGTGACCTTAAGATAAAAGGTAGCCTTGGGCAGTGCTTCATAAAGCTATGCTGGTGACTAAAAGCAGTGTGCTTGCTTGGCCAGCACAAACTCAGAATAATATCTCCTTCTGTCTACAATGCTGAGATGCACTGTTGCTTGGAGAACTAATTTCAGGAGAATTTGCATCTCCCAAAGGGAGTCAGTTCTCCTCTGCAGTCTCCTGAGAGCCAATTTCCTAAGAAATGGGGAAAACTTGCTTTAAGAGAGTCTTTATTTAGTTGTTATTTTCAAACAACAGTCCTGAGGTGTTAACATAGACTGGCAGGACACATTTAGAAATTTCTAAGTCTTGCCATGAGCAAATACCTGTGAAATTAGTATATTCAGTAGTATTAAGGTAGGCATCGCCCCTAAGAGCCCCTGTGCATGATCCTTGTGGATTTTTCCCTCTTGTCCTTTCTTCTCCGCAGACATTAATCTGTTTCCTGTCACTATAGACTGCATTGCATTTTCTCCAAGTGTTTCGTACATTGGAACAATTCCTTCCCTCTCACCCCTCCCCCACTCTCTCCCTGGCTTTTTTTGACGAAGTATAATTATTTTGAGCTTTGTCCATATTGTGTGTTCATGCTGAATTATGTATACATAAACATAATTTGTTGATCCATTCATTCATTTGGTTTGGCTGTTATATACAAAGCTGGTATAATTTGTGTCAAAGTCTTTGGGACTGTGTGTATCCGTCTTTTAAAGTGATTCTGTGCCTCCCAGAGACGGTTCAAGTCATTTGTTTCTTATCTGTCTTCCTGTAGGATTTTATGCTACACCTGGTTCAAGACTTTGAAACAGGGCATTGAACTGTCAATGCATGTTCGTGTGGTAACATTCAGCTGGCTACTTTAAAGTGATCACAGTTCCAACATTTCTTCTAACCTTACTCTGGGCATTGTTAGAGACTTGGGCCACCTCGCTCTTAACATCCCCAGCTCTTTGCTACTCTGTAATTTTGAGCCATCACTGGGGTGATCTTTGTTGATGATTGAAAAGTTTGTCTTTCCTTTTGCTTCATTTTTATTCGCTTGAGTGAGAGTTTTGAATTCTGACAGTTTCGGGAAAGAGCGAATGGCAGAGACAGCAGCAGGGGAGAGATAATGTTGGCCAAAGTTGAAAATATGTTGAAATCCCAAGCAGAGAGGGAAAAGCCGGGAGTTCTGTGACTCTTCCTTTTTCTTATCCTGTCTAAGTTCCTCTCCATGTCGCTTCTCTAAGAACAGTTTCTTTACTTTTTGAGGACATGGTCAGTGGGTGCACAAGGCATCATGTGGTAACTTCGGGTGGTGGCTCTCGAGGCTTCTTAGTAAAACCAAATCCATGTTTTCCCTCCCAGAGACGGTTCAAGTCATTTGTTTCTTATCTGTCTTCCTGTAGGATTTTATGCTACACCTGGTTCAAGACTTTGAAACAGGGCATTGAACTGTCAATGCATGTTCGTGTGGTAACATTCAGCTGGCTACTTTAAATAGAGGAAGATGCAGATCCTCGGCCTGGTGGTCTGTCTTTTCCTTTCGGTCCTGCTTTCTGGGAGGCCCACGGGGTCCATTCCACATGTGGACCCCGAAGCAAACATGAACGTGGTGAGTTTCTAAAAGTCACCTGTTTTTAAAATACAGCAATGACAAGTGCTATTTTCTTTTAAATAGAGTTATATGAGCTGTAGGAAGGCATAACTAATCTCTTTATGGCTTGTTGTGATTTTTGCTCTTTCTGAATTGCAGATGCTACTTGCTAGACTTTTTCCCATTAAATGCTGCTGAACACAATACATGGCTTATGCTAAATAATGTGCTTTAGTAATTTCATCCTTAAATCATTTTAAACAAGCTTCAAAGCTGATAACATTGTGTAAGCCCTTTACAAGAATGCCTTTGTTTCTGCTGAACATGGGCTGTGATTGACAATGTCCAGGAAACATAACTCAATACAGTTGTGAGAACATTACAAAGAATTGTTAGAAGATATAAGCAAAATATTAACCACTGAATTAATTAAAACATTTCAAGATTAATAATCTCAAGGAAACAGTGGAATCTGGAAAAACTACACATAAGACTACAATGGCAAGAAAGTATAGATTATCAAAAAAAACAGCAACTTTAAAATACAATGGCAAGAAAGTATAGATTATCAAAGAAACAGCAACTTTAAAACAAGCACTGGATTGACCCAGCTGAAGAATCGGTGACTGCAGGACAGAAAAATTTCCAGGAGACAGGATAGTATGGCATGATACAGGCCAAGCTTAAGCTTTCTCTTGGCATTCTCTCTTTTAACAGTTCCTTCCTAAGGGAATAGTGAAATTAAAGTCTTTCTGGCATTTATGGCAGAGTGGATAATGAATACTTCAGTCTTCTAAAGAACTGATATATGCTTTCCCACTGAGCTCCCAGTGACACTTGCCATGGATCTTTCCTTATGGAGAAGTGAATTTGATGACAGTTTCCCATTTTTCAGCTTTTCTTCAACCACACCTTGATGTTCTAGTGAATTGTTTCTGGGTCTATGGCTGAAAATGATTTTTTTCCTAAAGTCTTATTGCCTAGGCTAGGAATTTTATGAAACATGAAAAATGTTAGCTGACCTATTTAGAAAAGAAGTGTTTGTTTTACCTGGGAGGTATGATGGAAACAACAAGGCTCCAAATTTGACACACGTGGTGTAGAACATGCTAGAAATACCTTTGAGTATAAAACATTGGTGCCTCAGTTGGGATCTTGGCTACCAGACTGAGCAGATTCAAGTTGCAGCGGTTTCCTTTCAAAAGCTAAAAAAAAAAAAAAAAGTTACTGCGTTTGGTTTCTCCTATGCCTGCTTTTTTTGGAGACTGAAGAATTGGAGTCCAGCATAGACTACCGGTTGTCCTTTCTCTCCCCAGACCGAAATGATCAGGTACTGGGGATACCCGAGTGAGGAGCATATGATCCAGACAGAGGACGGGTATATTCTGGGTGTTCACCGAATCCCTCATGGCCGGAAGAACCATTCTCACAAAGGTATGGTGTTTTCTGTGGCCAGATGTAACAGCTTTGGGAAGTCATGAGTTGGTGAACAAATTCGGGCTTCATTTGACAATGTTGCCACAGCATGGGCTGGAGGCCAAAGTACCAGTCAAGCTGAGGTAACTGTCTTAAAGCCAGGTTGGCTCAAAGGTCAGATTCCATGTAGATTGTCAAAATATCTATTTCTGTTGTTTCTCAGGGAAGCAGTTATCTAATGAACTGTTCAGAGCATTAAAGACTTACCTTTTGCAATTTAAAAATTATTCAGTTTGTTGAAAAGGTAATATAATCAAATACTACAATATATTCAAGTAACATATATATATATTAGGCAAACAATACATGCAAAAAATCAAGAAATATACTGTAAATACGTCTTTTTCTATTTTTCTAGTTTTTAAAAAGTGTTCTTGTATAATATCTTCATTTAAAATCTGCCTTCCATACATTCATTAGAATCAAATATAGGGTATTTTTCTGTTGCCACCTTTTAAGTTCTAAATGTGCTATAAAGGACATAGTGTTTTATTATTTATTTACTTGCTACCAGCAAACTCACAAAAGGTGGACTTATTTTTCGTCACAGATACCTTCCGGTAATTCATAGGGCACTTATCTGAAGATAAGTGTATTCCATTGTATGTTTGTATCATTACTTGCTTAACAAGTGTTCTGTTAGTAAATATTTGTGCCCATTTGAATGTTCAGTGAACAAATATTGCTGCTCAAAACAACAAAACAAGACACACACATATACATTGGGCAAGTTTATTTAGAAGATAAATTTCCCTCCAAAGAATTTTGATGTCATACACATATGAATTGTGTTTTTGACAGACTTTTGGAAAACTGTTCTCTATGTATGCATGCACTGACAGTGAATTTTACTAGGAGTATATAAAAGTTCTTATAGATTTGCCTTAAAAATATGGACCTTGGCATGTATTTATATCCTTCTTTGATCAACTCATAACTCAAGCAAAACTGTGGTCCTGATGTGGACAATGGCATTTCTAGAAAAACTACCTGAAAGTGGTAACAGCCATCAGGGTAATAGATCTTCCTTTAATCATCTCTCTAGATGTAGCCAGTTGCTCTTCGGAAATATAAAGTCTGGGCTAAGGTAACTGGCTATCTCTCTCCTCTGTTAGGGTTTTACTAGACAGAGTCTTTGCCTCACGTGCTTCTTAAAGGGTTATTCAGAGCAGACAACAAATCCAGGCAGAGGTGAGCTTTGTACCAGCATCTGCCTTATGCTTCTCTTGTGTCAGCTGATACGCCCATTTTCCCTTTCCTCTAGGTTCTGCCTGTCACAAGACACTAAATAATGCTTTTGTGGCTATGGGTGTGTTCTTTCTGAAATTCATTTGAGATTTTGTTTCAGTGTTTACAGCGCTATAGTTTTGTATTTCCCTGGTGAATCTTTTACAGAACGAAGGACAAATTGTATTGATCTGTGTTTCCTGCTTACAAACACATAAAGTATATGTTTTATGCAAGAACAAGCACATGATCTTAGTTTCCTTCCTTTTTTTCCCCAAAAGTACCCGTGCACAGGTTTTAGACTCTATCTAAAGACAAATAAATATGGATATTATTTGCTATAAAGTACTTGGTCAGTTAGTAATTACTAATATGAGCCATTGTTCAAAGGTCCGAGGTCAAACTCTGCTGAGAGAATGCACCACCCCTGATTCCATATCTACCTGCATGCAGCAATTAAAGCATACAGGGTTACTATCTTGTGCACACAGATTACATTGTGACATGGGAGGAGCTTCCTGTGAAGGAAGGTGCCCCTCAGCAAAGAGTACTATTCAGAGCCATTAGATGGTCCCTTGCAGGCTAGGGAAGTGGATACTGTGTCATCAGAATGTGGAACACAGACTGAGCGTGTTCTCGGCTAGCTTTAGCTTTAGGTCCCCATCATCCTTCACAGTTCTGAGGAGCCTCCACCTTCCCCTGGGGAGGTCAGCGATCCTTGTGTTTACCAGCCAGCCTCAGAAGGGCCTTGTCAAGGATTTCTGTAACTTTGTGATTTTCCTAAGAACTGCATAGATGCTTTTCCTATGGTTTGTTCCCTGTGGTACTGGGCAGAGGCTCTCTGTTGTGTCTGTTGAGAAACAGTGTGGTGAGTGCTGTTAATCTGCCATCCTGGAATTCAAAAAGCCAAAGAGAAACACAGTCCTCAAAATGGCATCGATTTCGTGAATGCCACTTCCCTTCTTCCCTATTAATAGCACCGCTGTCCTTCCAGTGACCTAGGCTAGACATTGCAAAGTCATTTCTCTTGTGGTTGGCAGTGCTGGGGATCGAACCCAGGTCCTCATGCATACTAGGCAAGTGCTGCTGCGAGGTATATCCACAACCTGTGCAGAATAGTTCTTGATTCCCAGTCTCTCGGTTGCCCACGAATATCCCTTGTTAATCCTTTTCTCCCTTGTTCTGACCGTACCTTATTCTAAACTCTTGTTACCATTCAGATAGGCACCTGAGACAGCTCAGAAGCTGAGAGAATCTTGAACGACTCAATTTTGAGGGGTGGGATCCCCATGTACCAGAGAAAAAGGATCTCAAAGCAGGAATATGGAAATTTAGTATCATGTTTTATGAAATCAATGCTTTTAGCATATAAGAAGTAATTCTATATAATCTAATTCTATACAGGTAACTATAAGATCCATTAAAATGTTATTGACGCTGGGCGCATACCTTTAATCCCAGCACTCGGGAGGCAGAGGCAGGCAGATCTCTGTGAGTTCGAAGCCAGCCTGGCCTCCAGAGAGAGTGCCAGGATAGGCGCCAAAGCTACACAGAGAAAACCTGTCTTCAAAAAGCAAAAATAAATAAATAAATAAATAAATAAATAAAATGTTATTGACTTTCTTGGGGAACACACTGTTTACAGTGGGCTCTTCAGACAGTGTCACAGGTTTTGTGTGATCACAGGGCTGAGCCAAGTGTCTGCTCTGCCTATGCCCTATTGTAAGCTCTGCTGCCGATCGATGCCTCTTGTGCCAGAGTCTCTGTCTTATGTAGTTTTGCAGATGAGGTTGCTTCAGGCTCAGCTATTATGTGATTTTGTGAGGCAATGATCTTCATGAATCCAATGGATGAAGGTACATACATTCCTTAATATTGTGTCCTGGCTGCTTGTCTACACTTCTCACCCCATCTAGAGCAACAGACTTTTGTACTTGTGGCTATGGGAGATTATTCCTGCAAGTTTCCCCTTCAAGTGCGTTTATTTGATGCCTGTGCATGCATGTGTGTGTGTATGCGCATGCATACCTATATGTCTGTGCATCCTAGTGCATGTCTGAGGAGGCATTATATATTCTTCTGTCCTCCTCCACCCCAGTCTTTTGAGACAAGGTCTCTCACTGAGCCAGAAGCTGGCCTGATAAGCAGTAAGCCCTAGCGATCCTCTTGTCTCCAGCTGAGACCATGTTAGGTTTTGTATGTGGATGGTGGGGGATTTTCCCACGGAACCATCTTCCCCCTTTTAAGCAGCCATTCGCATCAGATGTTGAGCCATCGCCGTATTTGCTAAACGCTTAAGGGAACTGAAATACAGAAATGAATCATTTACAGAGAAGTGGTTTTGTTTTTATCTGCTTAGCCTTCATGCTGAGTGGTAATGCTCCAAGGCTCTCATTTCCTTCTTGGACCAGGATTTGCAAAGCTTGTACCTTTATAACATACTCCTGGCAGGCTTCTAGGTATCTAGATCTTTGTGTTCTTGATCAATATACTAATATCCTGCTCAAGACAGCCAAGGTAAAGGGAGTCACTTGGGCATTTTGACTGTGGAGGCAGTATTCCTTGAAGTGACAACATGCCTTTACATAATAAGTATTGAGCAAGCTGATCCCATGATGACCATAATATAGACTTTATTTAGCTGAAACAAACAAACAAAAATACTACTTGTGCCAGCATTAAAAATAAAACACAAGGCCGGGCGTTGGTGGTGCATGCCTTTAATCCCAGCACTCGGGAGGCAGAGGCAGGCGGATCTCTGTGAGTTCGAGGCCAGCCTGGTGTCCAGAGCGAGTGCCAGGATAGGAAAAAAAAAAAAAAAAAAAAAAAAAAAAAAAAAAAAAAAACAAGGCAGAGTAACTTGCTAATTGCCTGAGAAATCAGCAAGTTTTTAAAAGAGAACCTCATTGGTATCTAAATTCTAAATTCTGCATCCGATGACCTGGTTGTGAAGACCAGGACTGACTACAGGAAGCATTCAGAAGCAGGCTTCTCAACTGTAGCCTGGGCACAGTCTCCCCAGGGCTTGCCCACTGAGTCATTTGAGTAGGTGAAAGGTTGCCACATGCCTTGTGAGTTGTCTTCCACAGAAAAGCCTCCAGGCCTTTGTTTTGATTTAGCATCCTGACTGACTCTAGGTAAAGAAACCCTCCCTTTGAAAGAAACCAGTTGTGGGTTTCTGGCTTTAATTAACTAATTAATTAAATAATTTTTAAATAAATGCAGCTTCAGTAGGCCTACATAATCTGGCCTGTGAGTCCCTGTACCCGGGGCACTGAGCACATGCGGGTGAGCTCAGTGCATCCCCAAGCTTGCTGAGCCCCTGCTGCTGCATTGGGTTGGGGATTGCATTTGGACCTTGGAAACTCAGCAACATAATTGGGGTTGCTGTGCAGTTTGTCTCCCAAACCCTGGTTGAGGTTGGAGCAAAAAAAGAAGTGCAGCACAGAGGAGCCTCGCCGTTGCTCTGCCTGCCCCCTCCTTTCCTCACACGCCTCCCCTTCTTCTTGGCTAGCAGTGTCTGGGAGATTTCTCCAGCCCCTGGGGCTATATCTTCTGAGTTTGTTTTGCAGCAATTAGGTCAACAATAGCTTAGATGGATGATAACGCGTAATTACTGCCTTCCCCAGCGGGCTAAGTGCAGCTGGAGCTCTGTGGAGGCCAAAGTCTTCTCTGACTTCTGTAGACTTCTTGGGACTGGGGTGAGCACAACACTGAGACTGCAAATGTTC